TTCCTCTTCCTGTCCGGTTAATTCATTAAATGTGCCTTCATCACAAAGAATTGGATTACTTGTGTTCACTGGACAATACCTCCCAGACGGACAGATAGTGTCATTGAAAGTGGTCGCCTTGGCAAGACAGACATATCCAGCTGGGCATGATTTACAGTACGTCTGACCTTCTTCATCTTGATAACTCCCATCAGGACACCCCTCAGGAAGAGTATATCCTGCACGACAGAAATGGCCTTTTGGACATACACCACCAAAACCTACAAGGTGGATCACAAGATTCTAAGATTCCTTTTTCAACGGGTTGGCCATTGAGTGGCTTACAATTAGTGATAAATTCTTCACAAAACACATATTTAGTAGACAATTTATATCTTGTTTGCCCTTTTATTTTCCAAAACTATTTACGGCTACATACTAAGTATACATCGCTCTCTCACGGCATGCCATGGAATATCCCAGGATTCTTTTGTATTTTCTTGGTATACACACAGGCCTTTAGACGATTGTGTATACCAAGAAAATAAAAGTGACAAGCAAGACATTCCACTGTATACCATTGCATTGTATAACTATTTTATACCATGTCATAGAAAATACAGACATCAACACAATCAAAGGGACATACATGTGGCACATGATAGCAAGGTTGGGTGCAAATATCATCACACATACAACGGTTTTCCTGTAATCTGATTGGCTGTTTTTTCTATGGCATGGTATAAATGCATGTATGACATACATATATATTACAGGATGTGAAGTATTTATTAAGCTAGTAACATAAACTAACAAGATAAGATTAAAACAACATTGGATTGAGCGGTAATTTTCAATGCTTGACCTGTTTAATCGGTGGTGGCTAATCTGTGGACTTATGTGCAGATATGCACGATGAGGATTGATGACGACGACAATGATGATAATATAAGTGATGATTGTTAATTTACTTCATCGTCACTGAGTACAACAGCATATTTACCTGTATGCAATCCTAAAATCGAGCAGTTACCAAGCAGCGATGTTCCATTCACTGAGTTAACAGGATCTGGCTTGTCAACACCTGACTCGCAGTAGAAGCCACCATAGCAGTCACCACTTGGCTCAACAGCATGAAGCTCGCCACAATATTTGCCTCCTGGGCAATCCTCACACTGTGTCACCAAGCTTAAGGTTGTTCTGTTACTGAAGGTTCCACGGGGACATGGCTTCCAGTCCAAACCAGTTCTAGCAGGACAATAATAACCCCTTGGACAGGCTTGATAGCCTGACTTTGGATCTCCTGCAGTCACATTCTCTGGCACGCAGTAGTACCCTGGAGGACAATCTTGGCAAGACGCCTGGGCTGTGGCATTGGTAAATGTTCCTGAAGGACAGTCTTTAGGAGTGGCACTTCCTGTAAGGTATGCCATTAACTGCATGTTAGAACTTAAACTTGCCAAGAGTGAGGAGCATCTAAAAATCTCTTTTTATTAACATCAAGAGTAGACAGCAAATGAGAAAAAAAGAGCCTGAGTGCCAAGAAGTTAACTACTGTACACAACACTGTAACCTAATAAATTCAACCAAATATCAGCCAGTAACAGGACTGGTTTGCTAAGCAGACAAAGCTGTAGCCACATTTTGATCAGCTGTAGACATAAGCAATGTTCATATTTATGATGATCTGGAGTCAATTGAAGTTGTTTTTGGAAGTACCGTGTGCCCATATTACTAAGGATTGATTACAACACTGTTGGGGGAGTAGGGATGGCGCAGTGGTGAGAGCGCTCGCCTCCCACCAACGTGACCTGAGTTCAATTCCAGCACGGTGTTACGTGTGGGTTTAGTTTGTTGTTGGTTCTCGCCTTGCTCCAAGGGTTTTTCTCATGGTACTCCCATTTCCCCCTTCTGAAAAACGAACATTTCAAAATTCCAATTTGATCAGGATAGAGGACCTGCAGGAAAACCAACTAGGGCTGATGTGGCTTCCCCTCTAAATATTGGAATTTATTTTTTAATTTAACACATAGATCATACTCACCTGGAGAGCTGTTGGAGAGCTGGTTTGTTTTGCGGTTTGAAATTGTTTTCATAGGTGCATGTTTATTTATCAATTTGTTAAACTTGTTGTAAAAAGAAGAAAATAAATTGTCCACGTCAGACATTTCTTTTAATCTAAGAGTGTATTTCAATTCACATTAGACAGATCGGCCTTAAAACTGTCCCTAGAGAATCTAGAAAAGTCCTGCACTTTAAATTTTTTTATCTCAATTTTATTCCTCATAGACTTCAGAATACAGAATTGCGAAAAATGATCACTTATATCAGAGATGATATTTCCACTAGATGTTGTCAATTAGGGTGGCGGAGGTAGAGCGGACACGCACTGGTTTTTCAATTGTGGGAACGAGAAAAACAACTTTGAAGGGAAGTCAAAAAGTCGTGACTATACGAAGATGACACACATTTTAAAAGGTCAATATTGAAATCACCCATGATCACAATATATTTCCCAGAGGACGCAAGTTTTTCAATAGTCTCATCAAAATATGATTGAAAGATTTCAGGAGAGTTGTGTTGTCTATAACAGATTCCACAAATAACATTTTTCTTATTCTCAAAGGGAAACTCAGCCCACAATACCTGAAAAGCTTCATTGGAGGTCCTTTCTAAAACACGATAATCAAGTGACTCATCAATGAACATTCCCACACCCCCAGACACCAGAGGTGTTGGAACATATTCAAATACGTAGCCAGGTATATGTGCGGTACACAATTGTGAATTTACATTGGTGATTTTTGTTTTAGTAACTCTGATGACATTAAAATGAAAATCTACTTCATGCAAAAGTTGAGTTTGAAGATTTTCCAGATTA